CCGTATTTTAGCCAATATATACATGGGATTTGGTACAAAGATACTTTTTTTACAGGCAACACACATTAACAAACGAAAATGGTGGACTTTCTCATTTTTACTAATTATGGGGGGTGGAAGACCACACAGAAAGCATATGTTAGGGTTTTTTAACAATTACTCTGCATATTTCAACTAATTTACATTGAATTTGGTACAAAGATACTTTTGTACAGGTCCCAAACAGAGATATAGAGAATTTTGGTAGTTTTGACTTTTGCTCATTCCTTTGGTGAGAAGAGCACAATTTGGGATTTTCGTGAACTATTCATGTGTATGTCAACCAACTTATATGGGATTTGGTATAAAGATACCTTCTTGCAGGTCCCAAACAATGATATAGACAGTTTTCAAATTTTTCTCTGTTTTTCAAGATTTTTCTGGTGTCAAAATTGGCCACATTCGGATTGCGTGGCAAAGACAAGTTACATTTGCTCACGAATGTTGTCCTCTTTAATTAAAACAGACTTTTGACCAATCTTGTGACCACCATATAACCATGAAACTATGTATCATATAATTCTGAATGTACTAAGTTTATCTTTACAAAATTTGGCCAGCGTTTGGTAAACATTACACGTATGTTGTATACATAAAATAAAAAAGTCGGGATTTGTTAATAAAGTATTGTGAATAAAGATTGTCTATGAATTTATAAAGCCGTTACTGAGTCAGTATGAGTGAAAGGTAATTTTCATGCTTAGAATAATAATAATACTTCTCACCTTGCGAGTTTTGTATTTCATTTTCATAACCTCTTAATGCAGAAATGCATATCAAAAGTTTTTTCTGTTAAAACTATACTCGTATCTAATGTTTTCTCAACCCTAACACTAACTGTAATGAAACCATCAATTTACATGAAATGAGAAGTTGAAACATTTGAAATAAAATCGAAAATACTTTTTTTTTTTAATTATCGCCTATTGTAACAAACAATTACAATTCTTTATCCTAATGGCTTTACGGTATTATTAAACATCTCTCATTATGTGAAACAATATCACAGTGGGACGGCTTAATGTAAACAAACGGATCGAATTGCATAGCGTAACCTCGCATTGTTTGAATTGCGCTACCTAGCCAAGTGAGTGATCACGAGAAATGTTTTAATTTCGTTTCATTGAAGTTTTCTTATCTAACCTGATAAATCTATTTTTGACATTTAGTTACTTTTGTTAAGAAATATGTAACAATAAATAGAAAATATGTAAAAAAAGAAATTAAATTTACCACATATCTCAGCTGTAAGCCTATTTATACTCAAGAACACGAAAAATATATTGGGCATTAGAAAAAAAATATCCCAAAACAACTATAATTTGACTAGCTTTCTAACTAAGCTATAGATAGGTTAAAAGATTCTGTAGCATTAATTACAGTCAACACATAACAGTACATTCTCAGGCCTGGTAAAATATAAACAAATAAATGAAAGAAGGTATTACATTGAAGTTTGCTTTGTCTATTGGTTATAAACCTGTGTAATAGAAATGTTACAGAGGATTAAGGCATGTCTTGGAAGAGCGGGAAAGATAGGAAGGCATGTCATGTAGGTGTCACAAATTTAATGATATCTCAGTAAAGCAAGAAGATTGTATGTTCGAATTGTATAAGCCCCTCAGTGGCACAGCGGTATGTCTTCGGACTTACAACGCTAGAATTCGGGTTTCGATACCCGTGGTGGGCAGAGCACAGATAGCCCATTGTGTTGCTTTGTGCTTAATTACAAACAAACAATTCGAATTGTATATTGTGGCTTGTCAGTTTCGTTAGTATGACGGTAGTTAACTGAACTCTGACATGTAAGGGTAGAAGGAAAAACTAAAAATGGGGAATTCAGAGCACAGATGCATCGCGTGATACTGTGAAGTAAAGATTGAGAAGTTACTTATTTCCTCTTGAAGGTAAGAAATGAAAACGTGGATAATATCAAAATTTGATGTACAAACTATGTTTTGATGCTAAGCTTATTGACATACATTGATAAGAAAGTAGCTTAATTAAATTTTAAATCTAATGTAAAGAAAGGTGCCACACACACACACACACACTGACTCTCTTGTATGCATAGGGTCAAGGAAGAGTGCTTTATATTTAGGAGCATGCATCTTCTCTTCATGATATCTTATGACCAACCTTGTGCTCTATCACATGGATGCTTAATAGATCTTTCTTTTTACTGCTGCTGTTTACTTGGGTTCATGAATGTTGCTATAAAGTACGTCGTCATGTCCAAAAGTACCTTCCCTCTCAGAACATTTATAAAATATATAATTTTAGTGATATACCTAGTTACTGGTGCATCAGCTGTAGTGCATGAATTGGCTTTTAAATGACCCATGTTTGTGTTAGATTTTGGTTAGGGTTCTATGCCTAGGGGTTTGTGCTTTAGCTGTATTATTAGATACAGAATGTTGCATGCAGTGGTGGTTCATAGTTAATTTTGAGGCTGGTGATATTTTAACACCAACTCCAAACATATAGAGCAGTAAACGACTTCAGGCATATTGCTTTATTTATACGAGTCACTACACATCATTTAGTGAAATTCAAGTTTCAAATTTTATATCCTTAAAAACACTGAATAATTACATAATCATAAAATTTAAACCAGGCCTCGATCACCTCGAACTTGTGTGGTCTTCTTGTTGCAACCTTTATTTAAAATAATTGTCATTAGTTGTTTCTAAACTTAGATTCTGATTGGCTCTAATTAATTTTCATCTAAATAACTGCCAGTTAGTAAGTTTAGTCATCCTTTTCATCCTCTGATGAACCACCATTGATCTGGATGCATGGAATGTGAGATTTCCTTTCAAGACATTTTAAACACTGTTTGAAACTAATGTAATCACACGTATTGTTACAACTTTCTTTGTATATCAAATAATTTTATAGTAATTTAAAATAGACGTATTTCTATTACTGAACAAAATTTCTAATATGGTGCTCGAAACTGAACCACATAATTCTAATGAAAAAAGAATAAAAAACAGTTATCTTTGTACTGTATGACAACAGAAGATTTCATACTGGGGCACTTTTAGGTGATCTTTACCATTTTAAAGAGCCAACTTTGTGTTAAGGTAATAATACAAAAGTTTGAACTAATGTATATATATTTTATGGCTGTAGTTCTTTGTAGAATATCTATAATAATAATCAGTCTTTGTCAGTCACGCACATCTCACTATCTAAATGCGTATGCATGTACACTTTATTCCGATGGATGTAAACAAAAGGTAGATGTAAATATACTTTAGTAGACATTTTGTACAACAACATATTAAAACTTATCAAAGTTTTTAAAAAGGCCTAATGTTAGATCATTGAATAACATTGAAAACTTTATTTGTTGATAGTATTAAGCACGGTAACGTTTAACCCTAACTGAACTGAAGCAAAAAAAAAGCGTTCACAACTTAGTGTTAATTTATCTCTTTATCAAATATAGGCTTGATAAAGGCTTAACTAGTGTTAGGCCTAAGACAAGTGGACTTGTAGATTTCAGTGTCTGTGATTAAAATTCTTTCGTATTATTCTAGAAATCCTATATTTAAAGATGTACTGTTGCAATAAATATACTAATTTGTCTGTATATTTTTATGAATCTCTGATATATTTATGGCTTTGCAAGATTCTACATAAATATAATTTTAAAACTGAATTGAATTTTCTGTAAACAAGGTACAAAGTGGTAAAGGGGAAGTTAGATTAAATAAACAGAAGTCTATATAAATGTTTAATTATGAAGTTCTATGTACTTTCCATCTACCCGTAGATGTAAGCCATGATGTTCTGTAAACATGAAAGAAAGTTAGTCAAAGTTATATCTCAACTGGTCTTGTGTTTAGAAATACATATTGTTAGATACAATGTAATGTATCAGATTTTAAACTTTGCAGAACAGACTATGAAAAAAAACAACTAATCACGCACTAGCAATTAATTGTACAATTTTATAAACCTAAAATAAGAGTAAATAAGTCTTGCCTTTTGTAGTTATTATTTTGTTTTTGTTGTTTTCCATTCGATATTTTTGCAAATTTTCTGTCACATTGTCCTTCTAATTCCTTTTAACTGAGTGCAGTAATGTGACATTACTATTATTAAGTAATTTTTTAATTGTTGTACGTGTTCTTTTTAGTTATTACTTTGTATTTGTATGTGGTGCTGTAACCCTTGAGAAATGCATAATCCAAAACCTTGGGTTTGAATTAAAAAAATTTTCTTCAGAGTGATTATTACTACTGTTTTTTTGTTGTTGTAATAATGCAATGTAGTGTTGTAATGTTCTAGTGAGACACAGTCAAGATTCTATGCAGCACAGATAGTGTTAGCTTTCCAGTATCTTCACTCATTAGATCTTGTATATCGTGACTTGAAGCCTGAAAATATTTTAATAGAACAGGATGGTTATATCAAGGTATGGTATTTAAGTCTACCAACTTTCAAAGACAACCAATCTTGTTTATTTTAACATAATCTCTGGAAACATTTCGGAAAAATGTCTACAAAAAATACTTGTTTTATTTAGAAATTTAAATGCAAAATATTTTAACTTTTTTGTTTAGAAAGATGTTAACATAACGTTTTGTGACAACACATGGGACCTATTGGTCCACCTCTACTGTTCCTTCCTCTAAACTAAACTAAAACTATTAAGAACTAAATTTTTAAAAATCTTAAAGCCATTCCTTATAATGATAATATTATGAATCGTTAAAATAGAATTCTAACCAGTTACAAGGAATGTGTTTTAACCAAAGTAATTTCTGGAGATAATGGTCAAAAGTTGTTATACAACAGTATTTAATTTCATTCTATAACTCTGAAAAATAAAATAATACAAAGAACTGAAATAAAGAAATTAAACGTTTAGTAAGTTGTCTTCATTCCTCATTTTTTTGGGGAGGGTTTGAAAAGTCTTGGAATTTAGATTTTAAAATTTCAGGCCCTAAAAGTTTTGAAAAAATATATTTTTTATGATTGTGGTTTTTGTGCAATATCAAGTCGTACTTAGTTACTTAATGATAGTTTTAATATTCAAGTTTTTTGTATTATCAGATGTTTGTATTTGACTTAGCATGCAACTGTCATGTTGTGAAATTTTTAGGTATAATCTGCTAATAAGTATAACCAATAATATTAAAATTAGTATTAGAAAAATACTTGAAGAAAAAAAGTCACTTATAGAATTTGTTGGTAATATTAACTTAAAAGTGTAGTATTCTGTCTTGCTCTCCCCTCTTCTGATATGGAATTATAAGGAGATAACTTGTAAGTGTTTATCATTCATTTTGAAGACCAATAAATGAAATATATCACACCACAAATAACAGCAACATTATTCCCAATTTCGATTTTGCAACTTCCCATTGCATAAGTTCTAGTATTCTTTAATAATGGTTTGAAATGGTAATGTAACTCATCTATTCTGTTGAACTGGAGGTAGGTTTCTCATATGTTAAATTTTATCACTAACAACAACAACAACAACGACGAAAAAATTTTTTCTCTCTCTCTCTCTCTCTGTATTAAATTAAAAAAATATAAAGTGGAACATTTTTTGTGACTGTAGATTCATTATTGTTAGGTGTGCTTAAGCTTCTAATTTAGAACTTTAAAATCTGGCACATTACAAATGTGTTTATATTTGAACTGTCCACTACTTTGCCTCTTAATATTGCTATGATTTTTCCTTTTAAAGGTAACAGACTTTGGTTTTGCAAAGAGAGTTAAGGGAAGAACATGGACATTATGTGGGACTCCAGAATACCTCTCACCAGAAATTATCCTCAGTAAGGTAAGAATTAACATCTTGGTTTTTGCTCTGGAAACCAGTTAAACTTTAATAGGTGTTTTAAATATAAACTGGATTTAGTTATTTGGTTCATGTTTATGCACAATGAACTTTCATCATGATTTTTATGTCCAGAATTATGAATGTTGGCGAGGTTTTGTTTCCTTTGAATCCCTTCAGTTTTTATTTTCCATATTTGATCAATTACATTCTTTTTTCAGAAGTTCAGAGAAACTAGTTTTAACCTCCAATAAGATAAAAAAAAAATACTAATTTAACACTGCAGAATAGTGCTTATGTTCACATATTCAGTTGATTGACTATCATGAAGGAAATTTTTACATCTATGCTTAATTATGAATACATAAAATATATTTCCTATTAATGAGTGAAGTTTTAATGTAATGTTCAAAGAGTAAAATTATTTCGAAGAAAAAAAAAATTGCTGGTGATTGTTGTTTCAGTTATTTCTGCTTTTTATTCGGAAAGCTAGCATTATGTAAAGTGCAAAAACATAATAACATGTAAGTATGTTTAAGCATAAATCATTAATTTTGTAAGGACTCATTCGGTTTATTACTACGTAAACATTAGGCACTTGATGATCACATGTCTCATGACAAATACAAATTATTGGTCATTTCACCTGTGCTGTATATAGGGTGAGCTATAGCAGCCCTCCCATTAATACATAGAAACTGAAAACTATATTTTCATCATCAATAAATCATTCTTTTATAAATATTCAGAATGTTTGCTACCATCATCAGTACATGCATGGCTTAATAATTATGAAAAGTTTTATGTGCTACTTATGGTTTTGGATTTTTTTACTAGTTGGTCCACTCTGTGTGATTTGTTACTTTAAAATGAATCACAACATCTAAACTGTTTTTAATCATTCGTGTATGATGTTTAGATCTCAAAGACTTTACTTAGGTGCTTTACCCTGGGAGAACTGGCAGTCAATCACAGAAGGCTGTTACAAGTTGGCTACAAGTGTTATTAGAAGATTGTTGAACTTCTTCTGAACCAATGATACAGTTGTTTAGACACACGTACAATGCAGACCATCATCCAACCCATGAACAAATTATGGTTATCTGGCTCATTACAGTTATAGATTTCTAGTTCCAAAAGGGAGTCAGAGATTTGTAGTTGCAACTGGATGCCATGTCAGTATATAGAAATATATTTCACAAAAGTCCAATCTGTATACCAGATACTCAGTGAGATGTTTTCTGCTTATATCAAGACACACAACAACTTGCTTATAATAGTACCAATACCACAGCCAATAGATCAGTGACATCGGAAGAAGTATTCATTTTAATACTGTACACCCAGACAGAAGATGTGTATTTATTTGGAAAGAACCTGGAACCAGATCCTACATCATATTTTATACAGGAACGTAAAAGTATGGTATTGGCAAGAATAAACACTGGTGCTAAACAGACAGACTTCTACAGTGAATAATAAGAAACTTTATTGTATCAGAGTGGAATTGCATGTTAATAGTTTACATTGTGATATACTGTCATCCAACAAAATGACCACTAAAGTATAGGCAGTCATACTATTCTTAGCATTTGTGTGCTGAGTGTATTCATACTTCCAGGACAAGCAACATATAAGGTCTAGACCTAGAATTACAGAGTTCATCAAAACAATTAATATTACTTTCAGAAGTGAAGCAACATATAAATTACAGACCTAGGACTACAGAGTTCATCAGAACTATTAATATTAAATTCAGAAGTGAAGTAAAATATAAGGTTTAGACCTAGGACTACAGAGTTCATCAGAACAATTGATATTAAATTCAGAAGTGAAGCATCGTATACATTCTAGACATTCTAAATTATAGACCTAGAATTACAGAGTTCATCAAAACAATTAATATAACTTTCAGAAGTGAAGTAAAATATAAGGTCTAGACCTAGGACTACAGAGTTCATCAGAACAATTAATATTAAATTCAGAAGTGAAGCATCATATACATTCTAGACCTAGAATTACAGAGTTCATCAAAACAGTTAATATAACTTTCAGAAGTGAAGTAAAATATAAGGTCTAGACCTAGAACTACAGAGTTCATCAGAACAATTAATATTAAATTCAGAAGTTAAGCATCATATACATTCTAGACATTATAAATTATAGACCTAGAATTACAGAGTTCATCAGAACAATTAATATAACTTTCAGAAGTGAAGTAAAATATAAGGTCTAGACCTAGAACTACAGAGTTCATCAAACTAATATAAGTCAGTTTTGGCTGGTGGGGACTACTCCCTGTGACAGATCAGGTTGAAATTTCATGTTTCAGTAGGATCTGAATGGAAGTTCTGAAGAGTGAACATGAAACTAGTACTGCTCATGATAGAAATGGTCACGGTAGAAAACCCAAACTCTTGAAAAAATGATGTTAAGTAACTCGGTTGATGTTCTTTACGTGATTCATGACAATCCAGTAGGGATCAAAAACCTGGATGTAAGTACCAGTGTGTAGTTACTTCCAAGGATGTATATAAGTTCTCAAAAACCATTGCTTAGGAGAGATAGCCAACCAAAAGGCTGAAATGGACATCAGATTTCAAACAGTGCGATAAAAAAAAAAGCTGGAGGAAAGTGCTCTTTACAGATGAATTCAAATTGAAATTATGTCAGTGACACCTTAAATGCTGATTGACATAGCAGATGTTTATTCATCATGTCAGGAACAAGACCTATTTGGTAGAGATTCATCTTCCAGCAAGACAATGATCACAAGTATGCAGTAGATGTGGTGAGACAATGCCTGGTTGTAAAACCAGATCTATGAAACACTCATAACTATGGCTTGGCCTGCAAAATATCCTGATATGAATATTTTAATGGTTGTATGAGCTTGTAAGAAAACTAAAAGAGTCGTGTGACAACCACAGATCATGGCTGAAGTGTGGGAAATAATACAGAACATTTGGAACAATGTATTATGTATTGCTAAACTTATGATAGTATAAAAACAAGGTGTACAACTATGTTTAAAACAGATGTTTTATACCAATTATAAAATTAACCATTTAGTTGCACGGTTCTTACTCTTGTACGTCTGTCGCTTCTGAGTTTACATAATTATTTCTAATACAGTATATTCTTGGAAATGGTACCAATAGGGCCAACCCTAAAAATACCTGTAGACATCTTTAGAGAAGGTTGTTTGAGGTAACATCAGAGCCTCATAAACACTGATTTTAAGCCTGCTAGTTTGCTCCTTTTCTTAGTGACCATATTCCGTATTGAAGTGAGACATCTTGAACGGTACAAATATAAATCCACCTGTCATGTATAGTTTTTATTTTTCATTTCGGGTCACTAGTTGCTTGAGTTGCATAATAATTTGTAATCTATCCATAAGACGTTTGTTGAATCGTTTACTCTAGGAGCTCTTGTAGATTTAATAAGTAATTTCTGTTTATGTTTATTGCAGGGTTATAATAAAGCTGTAGATTGGTGGGCCCTAGGGGTCTTGGTGTATGAAATGGCAGCTGGATACCCTCCATTCTTTGCCGATCAGCCAATTCAAATTTACGAAAAAATTGTATCTGGAAAAGTATGAAACCTTTTCTATAAAATTTATTTACGTTTTAAATAAATCTTTTTTTTTTTACATTTTCTGTTGATCCTATTATTTTTTTACATTTTCTGTTGATCCTATTATTTTTTTACATTTTCTGTTGATCCTATTATTTTTTTACATTTTCTGTTGATCCTATTATTTTTTTACATTGTTGCATGCAATCTAGTTTAAATTTTGTGATTGACACTTTGCTTTTGTTAAAATGTGACTGCTACTTGTATTATGTATTAAGCTGATAAGTTTCCATTTTGAGATTGCAAGTTAGCATTTTTTGAAATAAAGAAGAATGGACTGAAATTTCTTAACAGAATTGTGGCTGTATGTAAAGATAAATTTAGGAATATATTCGATGAAGTTCTGTTAGATATTGTACCAAATGATATTGGTGTGTTAATGTACAAAAGTGCTTTTCTAAACAAGCAACATTTTCTGCATTTTCATACATGACTTACATTGGCTAATGAAAATTTAGCATAACTTTTCACATGAGTGTTTCACTTTTACCAGGATGTACTTTTTTTCCTTTGCTGTCTTTTGTTTTTTAATGTAAATGGTTTGTCTCATATCTCTTCATTAGCATAATTATTATTCTATCTGTCTCTGACTGATTAATTATACATGTACTCTTTTAAATGTGTAAATGTGCACTTCTTTCAAAAATCTATAAACTGTTAAAATTAGTTTTTAAACATCTACAGGTTCGATTTCCATCACATTTTACATCGGACATAAAAGATTTGCTTCGAAATCTTTTGCAAGTTGACTTAACCAAACGATATGGGAACCTCAAGAATGGCGTGAATGATATAAAGAATCACAAGTGGTTTGCAGCAATGGACTGGATTGCTATATACCAGAAAAAGGTACATTGTAGGTTTTGTGTGATATAGTTATTTGACAAGTACCATGATTGGTAAGCTGAATATTCGCATCTTGGTTTTTGAAAATGTGATTTACAGATGTTGATCGGTAGGTTTGACACATACTGTTATTGACTCATTTAGTGTATGAATGCTGTAAACACTGATTAGGCCTAGCCTTCTAAAAAAATATTCAGTTAAGATAATTTAGTCTATTCCAAAAAAGGTTTGTAACTGATAAGCTGAGTACACTTGTAAATATGCTTGTTTGTTTTGAATTTCGCGCAAAGCTACACGAGGGCTATCTACGCTAGCCGT